AAATAAATAAATAAATAAATAAATAAATAAATAAATAAATAAATAAATAAATAAATAAATAAAGGCTAGCTGCAAAGTTTTAAAAGTTGCCTTTTTTTTTAAACAAACGATTGCTTCGCTGCTTGGGCATTAGAGGAAGTTTCTCTTGCAACTGTTAAAAAGGAGGAAATTACCAGCACTAAAACTCATTTAATATAGGTATCATGGTCTTTGGAGAATGTCCTTGAGGATTCTTTACCTGATTAAAATTATTTTGAGCAAATGATGGATAACCCACAACACATATTATATTGGGTGCAGATGCTTGTGAAAGAGCTACAGTCAAGAGATATAATTTTAAAATTAGTATTAATAGTATATTATTACTTGTGAAAGGTTGTCACCTGTAGAACTCTTCTGTGGTTTTATAGAAAGACAGGCTCAAATTATTATCTTGTCCTTTTATCTTTCCTCATTTTTTAAAACTTTCTGCAACAATTGTCCCTACTTCTATAGCCAGAGGGTAATAAATATACTTCTATCTTCTTCTTGTTTAACTTTTCAACTAATATCCATGTCTTTCTTTTAATTCATTTTTTTTTGCCAGCACTGCAAATTCCCCCTCTTGAAATCACGCTGTGTAAGATAAACCTTGCAATAAGATTGTAGAATTTCCATCCTGCAATCTGACCAGAATTTGGAACTTCCACCTTACGAAAGGATGTTTCTTCTGCCAGGTCTGAGTATCTTCTATTTACTCTTGGTGGTTTTAATAGGTAAGTCCTCACTCCTACTATTCCTGTTAAGGTAAGGAAGGTTAATTCCTTCTGAAATTGTATGAGAAAAGTAAGGATGTAATTAGCTAAAATTACCCACAGTGCATAGAAGCTGGCAAAGCTGTTAGAAGAAGTGGTGCTGAATAAAAGCTTTCCATCTTTCCATTCTGACTCCCCACTTTCTGCCTAGACGTTTGTCAATGGATCAGGGGTGGGTCTCCCGGTTGGTCGGCGAACCCGGAAGTAAGTAACTTCCGGGAACGGCGAAGGGCGCNTGTTATGGTATTGCTTTTTTTCTGTCTCCCCCCACCCTGTATTAAATAAAGCAGCATCAACAACATTTATAACGGAGGCCCAGAGTCTTGCTGTTCCTTTCCGTGTAAGTATCAAATCACAAACGTCTCCGGTATAAAAACAAAAATCACCCGTCGCCTCCGCCCGCCCTTTCTGTCTCCCACGTCTCGGTTCTCCTTCCCGCGCTCTCCGAGGCTTCCGCGGGTGGGGGATCCTTCCGCGATCCCATAAGAGAAGTGAGGTGGGCCCTTGGGCGGCGGGGTTGCCGGCGGGGAGGCGACTCGGGACCGGCGGACGCGGGTCGACGAGTCGGAAAGCGAAGCGGGAAGGGCGCCGTCCTCCCCACCCTGCCCCGCGCACGCCCAGAGCCGCTTCCCTCCCCTCCCCATTCCCGGCAAACCTCAGCATCTCCCGGCCCAGAGCATCCTTCACTACTTGGGTCCACACCCACTTTTTTCTCCCCCCCCCCGCCTGGACCGCGCACTGAGCGGCTAACCCAAGTCCTGGGCCGGAGAAGCGGATGGAGGCGGCTTCGTCCCGCCCGATTCCCGCCGACCGTCGCCAGGTAAGGCGAAGCGGAGCTGCCGCCTGCCTGGCTGGCTCCCTCCGGGGCGCTGCCGGCGTTCCCCGGCTGCGGGGAGTGCAGCAAGCGTGAGCCCGGGGAAGGCACTGATTGCCCTGGATCGCGCCGGCCGCTTCTGCTGCGGGGCGTTTCTGGGGAAGAAGATCCGAAGCTGCTCTATCCCCGGGCGGAGAGTTTCCCCCAATAGATACCGAGGTATGGTTTGCCGGGAGGAAATGCGACAAGCCCCGCCGAGTCCAGGTAACGCCTCCCTTCCTCCGTGCGGTCGGCCAAAAAGGCTCGATTCACCTCAGCCCAGGAGCCGGTGATGCTGCTCTGAGTCTCTCCCCCCCCCCCGCCGCCCCACTTTCTCCCCCCCGTTGAATGCCCCCATTCAAGGCAGATCGCAGGGGCGACAAGGCGGGGGGAAAACATCCATACAGACCCGCCTAGGCGGCTGTCAACCCCCCTCCCCTCCTGACTGAAGTTGGAGAAAAACAAATATATATGACTAGATTGATCGGAAGGATGGGGGGGCTTTTAATTGATTTGGCTTTGCGGAAATGATAGCCGTCGCTCTTGGTAACAGCAGGCAGGCCAATAAAAGCTGAAGGCAAAGGATACGTTGCTTGCTTTGTAAGAGATGATTTATCATTTCATGTATTGAATATATATATGTTTATGGGATGCATGGATGAAATAAGAATTCGGGACTGGTTTTCTCCCTTTAAAATTGACACAAGGAGTGTTAGATTGAAATACACCCAAATATAGCATCCATATATATATTTTGCACAGCTGCATAGAGTGTCAAAAACTGGCAACTCTTAAAACTGATTGTCAAGATTTAAGATTTAAGATTTAGTTTATTTGTATGCCGCCCTTCTCCGGGAGGGACTCAGGGCGG